CTCATCCAGATTAGGGATTTGGATTGGCTCGACTACCTTTTCAATGAAGATAGGGTTAGTGTAGCTCTGAACATTTACTTGATAGGGTGCATAGAGTATTCCTAGGTAGCTGTAACTTGGAAATGTAGTTTTTTGTGGTTGAAAGTTTGGAGTGGCTTAGGTCTAATATGGACCGAAACCTAAAGGATATAGTGACTTATGACTTTATGTGAAATATCTTCCTCCAGCGCTTTTTCTTTGTTTATCTTATCCAAAGCTTCGAGGATCTTGCTTAGTTTCTCCTCAATTACCTCATAAACCTTTTCTAACTTTTCAAAATGGTTTGCATTATCTTTTTCCATCCTCTTAGCTTGAGCTCGGGTATTATACAGATGTTAAGCTATTCTCACACCTTAATACCACAATCTAAAATTAGTGATCATGATATGATTTAACATGAATGAATGTAAAGCAATACATTGAAAAGAAAAAAAATTACCCTTTTAAAGATTTTAACAAAAGTGAACTTTCATTTATTCCACATAAGTCTATTTTACATTAAGTCTAATATTTTTCCTTTGTAAAAGCACTTAATTTTCTTGTACTAATCATTAACTTCCTCAATAAAGTTCAATAGTCACTGTCTATACTTTCCTACTGGCATAACCAAAACTCTCAATGTCTTAGCCTCCTCCGCTATTTCTTCCACCTTAATCATTACCTTGCCTATCTGGGTTGTAAAATGCTCTATGTATCTTTGTCTTCCTAACCCTTCTTTTTTGTCAAACCATACCCGATAGGATAATTCATGTGCTTTTCTGTAAGTGTCATGATATGATTTCTCTGCTCATTCAACTTCTGCTTCAGCACCTGGATGTACTCTTAGAGCATTTCATTTTCATGCTCAGCTTTGACATAATCATCCTCTATTTAGAAACATTCTCTTTCTAGCCTTTTATTCGCACAAGTCAAATCTGTATTGTTTATTTCTTTGGCTTGTACCTATATGTGAATCTTTTGTGTTCTTGTCATAGCTCCATCAGCTCTTTAAGGGCATTATCTCGTTCTCTAATAACCTTTTGAGTATTGCTCATGTTACACTCCTTGGAAATATTTTGGATTTGAATTTTTAACTTTTTTGCTTCGTCTTTTCATTATTTTTTTTTCTTTTTGAAGCCTTATAATCTCTTGTTTTAGTTTCTCTTTCCTGACTCATGTTCTTTCATTGTAAGTTCTGACTCTGAGGGCACATTATCCAACTCTTGATTCATAGACTGACAATGGTCTTTGAACATAAGTGCAACCTCCTTACTTCTCTTGGCTCTCCAAATCAAATATCCTTAAATGATTTTATCAATAAATGGTCTAGGGTTTACCCTCATGGACTCTTTCAAACTTTGATCATGCCATCAATTTTTTGAAAAGTTTAGGTTCTCTATATAAGCAGTCAAATTGGTTGAGCTGTGTGTAATGGGAACGAATTGTTTAGCTTCATATTATCTTTTTACCATCAACGGTGCGTAACTTGTTGACCCCTATAAGCCTAAAAGTGGAACCCTTATCTCATCTTTATATTGATACAGTATAGGTTCTCAATTTATCCATGAAGCTAATCATTTCACTTGATAAACTGTGAGCTTCTACAGTAGACATTCTTATTCTTTCCAGGTTTTTGCTTTTGGCCATTCACTCTCATAGAATTTTTTAATTGGATTTCAACTACAAAAATAGAGTTTGAAGAAAGCATTATTCTTGCATTCGAATTACTCTTTATCCATAGATACAATAGTGGTATGCAACCTAAAAAATGAGCCTTATCATTACGTCTACAAAAATTTAGAGATCTAATGGCTTATGCCAATATTATCGATGAAGGATTATATCACCTTTCAATCTATTCAAGTAAATCCACCTCATCTATCTCAATGTGGCCTAAGACCTCTGGGAAGATTACCATCCCATATATTTCTAAAGCAAACACATTCATTCCTTGGTCATTATCAGGGTGTTTGACAATGAAATCTTAGAGAAACTCTCATGAAATACCCTTATGCTCTCCTTTTTCTTGGATATGTGAATCTATGAGCTTATTTTCTATCCCTAAGATGTGAGCCAATTTTTTATGATACCCTAATCTTTGTTTCTTCATGTATACTCTGTTTGGATACTGAAAATGCATACCCACCAGAGTCAAATACTCATTTATTGTTGGTACCAAATTGACTTCATTAAAGATGAAGCAACGATAGGAATGATCCCAAAATTGTACCATAGCTTTAATGAGTGAATTTTCAACTCTCATTAACAAGAGATGTGCAACATGCCTAAACTTCTAACAAAAAGTCTGCTACCTTAAAGGAACCATGCTATTCCATATATCTAATAGGCCTTTCAAATCATTTTGTTTAAAGAGCAACGAACTTTGTTTGGTAAAGTAGAGACATAACCAGATGGTAAATAATTTCATTCTTCTTGCTACCTCTTTCCTGACTCTATTTTCATATTTATAAGTAAATCACATTTGAATAACACAGACAATGAGCAAATTTGATGTTCTGTGGGTTCCATGAAAATTTTTGTTGAAAATACCTCCAGGGCAAGAATAATATGCAATCTGCATGTATGTTTATGAATATGCACAAAAAAAATAATAAAGACAAAAAAATCAATTAGTTACCTCAATATAAAATAAAGAACAAACACTATAGAATAAGTAAAATAATGACATGACTCTAAATTTTTGATTAAATACAAAGAGTGGAGGGACATAACTCTACCTATAGGTTAAGCTCTTAAAGTTAACTATATGTAGTTTGGAATTATTTCTAAAAGGCTTCTAAATTGTTTCTTACATCATTGTCTATCACAGACTCATAAGGCACGCAAAACCTTGCCCATTATAGGTTATAAGCATAAAAGGTTTAATCTAAGTGGGAGTGTTTCGTTAGCTCATGCAGAGATATGAAATCTCACAAAGGCATAGGTACTTTACTTCTTCTTAAAGGATAGAACTCGAGTGTAGAGTTCATATTATGCACATACAAATGAATGACAGATATATGAAAATGAATAAATAAAGAACTAAACAAAATATAAGCGAGGAACAAGAAAGAAAAAAAAATCTCATATTTATTAGGCTAGGCTTAAATAATAAGAAATCATCTACCGGCCTAACTCTCAAGATCTTTAATAAAGTTGTCAAACTATCATAATATATAGATTTGTGGACTTATCGCTAGACAGAGATTTAAGAGAGTCATCACTAATATTTTTTGTTTAGGTGTGATTGACCACCTTATCGAATCTATCCCATTTAAATAGGAGTCTCAAGATTGACTTAGTTATCTTTAAATAATAGATTTTGATCCACAAAATCAGATTTTAGGTTTAAGAGTATAGTTATGTGTGAAGAAGATTATAATACTCCCCATAGCCAGTTTAATTTTAAATTATCTAAGTCTTAAATATGTTTATAATGTACCAAAAATATAATATTGAAAATTAATCCTAAAATTATTACAGTAGTTTGGTAGCAATTTAAGTTAATTCTCTTACCTCAGAAGTATTCATGAAGACTAATGTCTTACCTTAAAGAGGCTTCATCGTCGGATTTGTTAATGTATTTTATCAAATAAAATAATTAGTAAAGTTCTCCAATAGTTTAGTAAGGTTTATTTTGATGCAGATCTCCCAATAGTTTGGTGAGATTTAATTATAAAATATTTATAATTTTTTTTTTTTTGAGAAAATTCATTAAACCTTCCAATAATTTGGTAAAATTTAACTTAAAATGCAATCCTCCAATAAATGATAAAATACAAAATACTTCATTAACAATTTTCTTTTTTTGTGAAAATTGATTTATGAAATTCTCCAATAGTTTGGTAGAATCCATAAAATTTAAATTCATGAAAAATCCTCCAATAGTTTGGTAGGATTCATGAATTTATTTAAAAATAGCTTTTTTATTTTTTTTTGTTTTCCACAAATAAAATAATAAAAGGAATTTTACAAAAAATATTTTAAAAGCAATAAATTACTTAATTTAAAATTAATAAATAAAATAAGAAAAAGCTAAAATAAAAAAATAAAAAAAAAGGAAAAAAAAAAACTTGCGATCAGGTCGGGTCAAACACGCGAGTCGAGCACAAGTCAACGAACTGACATGCAGATCTTGGGCTTACTGAAACAACGTCATTTAGTGCAAGTATAAAAGTCACGTCCCTCAGCTTTTTTTCAAAAACCTTCGGTCTCCTCTCTTTTTAGAAAAATTTTCTCTACCTTCCTCTAGAAAATCCCAAAAATAATCACCAAAAACTAGGTTTGATCACTGGTTTCTAAAAAACTGACTAGAATCTAGCCGAAAAATTTAAACTCCATTGAAAAATTCAACGAAAAATTCAAACATTCAACTCAAACCTAGAATTTTTCAAAAATTTCTCAGAAATTTTCAGATTTTTTTGGAAATTCAAACTTCAATCCCAAAACTTCAAATCCAAACCCAAAAATTCAAACTCTGAATTCTTAAACTTGAAAATCCAAACCTAGAATCACAAAAATTCAAACCTAAAATCTAAAAAACGTACAACCCAAAAACTTTTTACCCAGAATTTAAAACTTAGAGTCTTTCATCTAAATATCAACTAGTGTCTTTCCCTCTGGTCCTATGTTCAATTTATCGCCAGCCTTAGTAGAAATTTTAAGGTTCAAACAGAACCAATCCAGGCATGAATCTTAGGATTGGATTCTGCCCGAACAGAACCAATCCAAGCTTGGATCCTAGGATTGGATTATGTCAAACGTAAATTAGTCTTGTCTAGCAAGTTTGATTGATTGCATGCAAATTTGATTACCTTTGATAATGTCGATTGACTACTTGATTCAATGTAGATTAAGAAAAGGAAAGAAAAAGAAGAAGAAGAAGAAGAAACAGAATAAAAGGAAAAAGAATAATATTAATAGGAATAAAAATAATAACTGTAACTTGACTCGGACACAGATGGGGTGTCTACAGTCAGGATATGTTATTAGTCGAAAATCAACTTCCCTTCTTTGTCCTTAGGGAGTTATTTTGTACGATTGAGAGGAGTAGGGCTGATCAAGATATGATCTTCATGGAAGCAATCTTTACAATGTTGGGCGATAGAGTACCAGGCAAAAGGCGCCCGAGAGACGATCTGAAGTCCCCGAATTTATCATATATCAGGCGTATACTCGACTTCATGTATCACTGTTGCTTTCATTCTTCAACTTCCAAAGTGAAGGCCCGTAAAAAGAAACTCAGAGACGATAACTCAACTTCAGAAGTGAAGAACCGTAAAGAGAACCCTAGAGATCGGAATTGCTTTGAATCATATAACAAGCATTTACTCGACTTAAGGTATCCTTCAACTTCACAAAAAAAAGAATGGATTGAATTTCATACGTTGTGCCACAGAGCTCAAAGAGGCTGGAATCAAATTCAAATTGGTTGATGGAAATACCATGTTCGATATATGGTTTGAAAATGGGACTCTACATATCCCCGAAATTAAAATAGGAGACGATACGGAACCTTTCCTCCGAAATCTCATTACCTATGAGCAGCTGTTAGCAGACAGAGATCTCAAGCATGCCACTGATTATATGTTATTTATGGACTACCTTATTGACTCTCCAAAAGATATGGAAACACTTTGCCAACATGGAATTATTAAGAACATGTTAGGTGATGATAAAGCAGTTGCCACCACGATTAATTGTCTAGGCTTCGGTGTCATCTTTTCCCCCAATTTCTATTACACTGAAGTATTCAACAAGATACACGAGCACCGCATTAGACCTTGGAACAGCTGGATGGCGAACTTGAACCACAACTATTTTAACAGTCCATGGGTACTCATTTCCTTTCTGGCGGGTGCTCTGATCCTTCTACTTACACTGCTGCTAACTGTATTTTCAGTTCTCTCTTATGCTCAATGAATTCCCACTCTTTAATGTGTTCTCTTATTATTAATATCTCAACAATGGAGTTCTCACTCCAAGTTTATGTTGATAAATAAATTTATTTAAGATAATTATAATTAGGTCATTGAAGTATATTTGTGTTTTTTTTTTTAATTTTTTGCTTTTCAATTTTTTGTTTTAATAGATTTGTTAACTACACATATATATATATATATATGTTAATGATTTTATTATTTATATATTTTATGAGTTGAAATTTATTTAAGATAATTATAATTAGGTCATTGAAGTATATTTGTGTTTTTTTTTTTATTTTTTGTTTTAATAGATTTGTTAACTATATATATATATATGTTAATGATTTTATTATTTATATATTTTATGAGTTGATCATTTATTATTGATAACATAATTAAATCTTTTTAGTCTCATAAAATAATTTTTTAATATATCATTTTTACAATTTAGTCTGACTTTTATAATTAATTTTTCTTTTGTATCTTTTCTCTAGAATTTTATAATTATTATTTACATTAACAAAAACTAATATCAAATCAATTGCAAATCAATTACACACTCTCTATTAACAATTAACACTATGTAATTCATTGAACTTTTTAATTAGACTTTTCACTTGTAAAATTAGATGATTCAGGTGTTGGAGCTGCTAGTAACTTAAGATTGAGTCATGTCAAATTGTCATACGAATTGTTCACCATGATTGAAATAATAATTAGTTTAATTTTCTCTCAACTTTTATCTTAATGTGTATATATATGATTTATTTATATTTCAAGATTATTTAATTTTTTCAATTGTATTAAATTGCTCTTTTTTTTTTTTTGTCATCCAAATGATAGAATGACTTAACATAAATTATTCTAAGTAGAGAATTATCAAGTAAAATTCATTTTTTTTAGTGAATTTTTTCAAAATGTGACAAAATTCATTAGAACTATCTTTTATACCAAAGTTAAATTCATTCATGAAAATTTATGTTGTTAATATTGAGAATGAAATCATTATAAATTGTATAGGTATTACATAAGAAGTTTGTTATTATGAGATTGAAATTTTCTTAAGAAAATAGGACAAGTACCAAGGTTATGAATTTATTTATTTTATTTTAATTTTTAAAATTATATATTTTAATATTTTTATATAATAAAATTTTATGTATAATAAAAATTTTTAAATAAAAAGAATTTTAAGTTTTCAATTGATAGAACGTATAATTACATCTGGTTGATGGAAGTACCAATGGATAATTATCCTAAGCAAACAAATGAGATAAAGATTAATTGGTTATACATTAGATTTAATTATGTTATCAATAATCAATGATCAACTTGAAGCTTTTAAATGAACAAGCTTTGTTGATGAAGACATTGGATTAATAAATTAATAATGTTATCATTTTTAAATCAAATAGGTTTTCTTGTTTGTGCTTTACACAATTAATTCTTATTTTTCATAAAAATATTCAAATAACAAAATCTATCTATCATCTATCTATTTATATATAAATTTGTAAAGTCAAAAAATGTTAAAAATGATTAACACAAATACCTCTATCAATTTTTATAAATTAACAAATTTATCCTTAATATATAACTTTTATGAATTAATTTATTTAAGTTTAATTTAGATCAACTAAATTTAAATTCAAGTCCATGTGAAATTAAAATTTTAAAATTTTAATTCCAAAAGTATTAAAAGTGATTAATTAAAATATTTTTAGTAATTTTTTTAAACATTTTAATTTAAATGAATTTTCTTGTTTATTATTAGATTCCTTTTTTATAATTAGACTCAAAAAGTGCTAATAGTGATTAAGTAAAATATTTTTAATAAAATTTTAATTCTGAAAATGATAAAAGTGATTTATTAAAATCCCATTAGTAACTTTTTATAAATTTTAAATTTTAAATTTTAAATGAATTTTATAATTAGACTTGTATGAAGATACAAAATATTATTTTTCACATTAAAAAAATACTAATAGAACATAGTCAAAGCTTATTAATGTATATAAGAATAAGACAACTATATGGAGTTTGATTCTTTAGTTGTTGTAAAATGCATGTAATTTCTATTGATAAATAAATTCATTAAAGATAATCATAATTAAATCATTGAAACATGTTTTTTTTCTATATTCTGCTATTCAATTTTTTTTTGTTTTAATTAATTTGCTAACTATATATGCAAGTTAATTATTTTATTGTTTGTATGTTTTGTTAGTTGATCATTTGATCATTGATAACATAATTAAATTCTTTAAGTCTATCGAAATTATTCTTTAATATATATATCAATCTTACTGTTTAGTCTAACATCTATAATTAATTTTTTATATTTTTTATAATTTTATAATTGTTATTCCTATAAACAAAAACTAATATCAAATCAAACGAAAATCAATTACTCACCCCTAACCAACAGTTAGCACTATGTGATTCATTAAACAACTTAATTAGATTTTCTACCTATAGTATTAGATAATTTAAAAGGTAGTGAAACTATCAGTAACTCAAGATTGGATCTCGTCAAATTGTCATAAAAATTGTTCACTTTGACTGAAACAATAATTGATTTAATTTTCTCTCAACTTTTATCTTAATGTACATATATATGATTTCCATTTTAAGATTATTTAATCTATCTAAATTATATTAAATTGCTCACTTTTTTTTTGTCATCTATGTAGTTGAATGACTTAACGTGAATTATTCTAAGTAGAGAATTATTAAGTGAAGTAAATTAATTGTTTTTGATAAATTTGTTCAAGGTGTGACAAAATTCATTGGAATCATCTTTTGACTATGTTTATACGAAAATTACATTCATTCATGAAAATTTATATTGTTAATGCTAAAAATGAAATTATTGTAAATTTATAGGTGGTACATAACAAGTTTGTTATTTTGAGAATTAGAATTTTCTTGAGAAAACATGACAAGCACTAAGGTTAAAATTTTATTTTATTTCATTTTGATTTTTAAAACTATTTATTTTAATATTTTTATATAATAAAAATGTATGTACAATAAAAATTTTCAAATAAAAGAAAAGTTTTCAATTGGTAGAATGTTCAATTACATTCAATCGATAGAAATAGCAATGGAATATTACCCAAGAATTAGACGAAAGGTTGATCATTGGTTACTCATATAATTCTATCTTCTTCATATGACTCTTACAAATTGTGCATGTGTCCTTATAACGATGGAAATTTTCACGAAAATTTGTCATGATTTTTTGTAATAAAATACGAGGAAAAATCATGAATCTATAAGTTAACACAAGTAAAAAAAATGATTAAGACTCATCATAATCATTTTTGTGTGATCTAACATCCCAAAGTCAATCAAGAACAAATCAATTCTTTTTTAAAACAAATTCTTAAAAAAATTTTTAAGAATATTTAAAAAAAAAAAAAAAGAGAATTTGAATGCTCTAGAGAGAGCATTTGAATGCTTTCCTTTTATTTTAAAAAATATTATTTTTTAAAATTTCGCCTATGGTATTCGAATGCTCTATCTAGAAACCAAAAAACTGATCCAAAAAAACAAAACATCAATGGCATTTCATTTTTTTATTCCAAAAATTATCACAACAACGTTAATTATATCAAGAAGATAAAAATTATGTCAACTCCTATAAATATTCACAAGCATTAAAGAACATGTCATCCTTTTAGTTATAAAAAAACATACAAAATGAACTAGAACATAACCCAACTTTATTTTGATACCAATGAAAAATAAACTCATGCAAGACATATACAAATATAATTATATATACTTACTTGTTTAGCAGAAACAGAAGCATAACTTAAATTATTAATTGTTGTATAAGATCATAATATAAAAATTATTTGTTTCCACATCATAAATCCTTTATATCAAACGCAATAATTTCTTCATTGAGAGTTGTTGCACTACCTGCCGATTGCTCTCCTTTCTTTTCTTTCTATTGTTTATTGTGAGAAACTTTTCTCTCTTGGTTTATTCTTTTAATAGTCGAATGCTATAATATTGTTATATAGAGATGGGCAGCATTTTCATGTATTTTGTAAACAGCGCTCCCAAGGTAGTTTTCATACCTTCAAATAAGTAAACTGCCTAATGGTAGTTGCTCCATGCATAAGGATCGGGCCACCCATTATGGGCAGACCCGCATCTCCTATTTCTTTCAAATCACATAAGGAGTAGGGTAAATGAGGCCAACATCAATACACAAAATCAAATTTTCTTTGTTAATTTGTCACCAACATCTCTAGCATTCTAATTATAATTGTAGAAAACATGTTATAAAATTTAAAGACAAAATTTTTATGTATATCATTAAAACGTTTAGTGATATGTTTCTAATACTGAGATAGCATGTTATGCCACTAGAAAATTTAATATTCTTCCTTTAAATATAAATTTGAATGTTTCCTACTTTTATTTACATTTTTTTTAATTTTTGCACTTCCTTTTATTTACTATTCTTTGAATCTCCCAAATCAGTGGTAAATCAGTTGAAATTATTGGATTACGCTATATTAGATCAACAACAAGAAAATGAGACAAAGCTTCTAACTTTCTTATTAGCTATCACAACAAATTATAATTGTTGACTTTTTATTATTGGTGAATTTATTTTTTTACAACCTATAAGTACATGGGTTTTGTTACAAACTAATCTTAATTCAAAGTGAGTCAATCATTTTGAATAATCTTAATTAAACTCTTTATGCCTAAGTGTTAATCTCTGTATATTTTTGTATACTGGTTTTAATCATTTAACCTTTTTCTTATAGTATTCATTTATATTTTGTTTGTAGTACAGTATTTAGCATTTAACTACTAGGCGTCAGAGGCAGTCAGCTACTCGCCTTCAAGGAGATAGCAGGCTAGCATTTGGATCCATTCATCGGAAACTTTAGTTATACAAACAACGAATTCCATGGACTTGTTTGGGCTAGGTTTGGGTTTTGCTTGAGGTCCAACACAAGCCGACTCATG